TTTAATGACAGTACGAACGGCATTCTGCTGCTCGCCATTTCGCAATGTTCACTTAAGAAATAGCTAATTTGTCCATTTGTTTCTCCCTTAACCAAACTTGGGAAGCCTTGCAACCATAGACAAGTTTTTTTTACAATGCTAACTGTATTTCCTTATTGAGCAAGTACAGCCCAACAGAACAGGCCCCATGCCCGGCAAGGGGCACTCAAGGTAATATAAGAACCAACCAGCTACTTAGCAGTTCAGAGTTGAAGTGCTGGTAATTCCCCCCCAGTGTTAGCTGCATAAATCACTAACACTTAAGCGCATCCTTGATTTCCAATGAAGGTGGATAGGAACAGTCTGGGTTGTACTCCAGTGCCTTGCCAAGGTGTGGCCTGCCTTGCTGGCACTGCAGGCTCAGCTCACAAACACTTCAATGGCAGGAAGCAAGTCCGAGTTTTTCTCAATGTAAATCTACATGCCTTCTGCAGTGTTCTTTCCCCTTAGCCTTCTGTCTGACTGGCTTTCCTCATGGTAGGAAGACCCGACAACCCCCCAAAATCCCCACACCTCCATGAGTAGAATTTCTACCAATCCCCCCAGGGGAGGGTGGCAACCCTGTGATCCCAGAATACTCTCCAAACTCCACATCCTCTATATCCCACTTCCCATAGCCCAGGGCTCTATTAAACACAAAACTCTTGCCAAATGCCTGGGTCCTCCAACAGAAAGGACAAGACTTTGGGTGAAAATGATGAAATGGACAGCTTTTATTTTCCATAACTTTTTTTCTGTGCTGGGACAGAACCTTTTGATTCTCATATGCTAGGTAATTGCTCTATACCTCCCACCCCCACCCCACACACCAGTCCTAAAATTCTTAAAGACTTGCTCAGCTTGAGATTCCTTAACTGTGACACTTAATGTGAACGGGGTATAGCACAAACACTTTCTAAATCTAAGTCACAACCCAAGGGTTTCAACATGCTTTGGGTACAGCACAGGTGAGGCCAATGGCTCAGGTTCCCCTCAATTCCAGTTCCCCTTCAGCAAGAACACTCCCTTCCCTGCCGGACACTGTTTCCACCAACTTTCACAGAATCCAGCTTAAAAAGAGAGATGGGGCTGGGTATGGTGGTTCATACCTGCAATCTTAGTATTTGGGAGACAAGGCAGGAGGATCACTGTGTGTTCCTGTCAATAAACAAATATAAAAATAAAACATAGCTCAGGAAAGCCAACAACTCCAATGATCCTTAGAAAAATCCATTGCCTACACACACAGCAAAACCTGATTTGGAACACAGGCCAAAAGTGCAAGTGGCTTTGAAGGACACATCCTGAAACTAGGACAGGAAAATGCCAGTTCAGAGGATTGTATCCTTAGTATTTTATTGAAATACACCACAAATCAATTTAATTTTGTTTAGGAGTTACAATGAAAGTTTCTAGGAAAGATAACTTCTCCCTGAATCCAAATCACTATCAAGCCATCATGAAACCTAAACCTAAACAACTTTGAGATGGGACGTCAGGAGTGTATTCACAATTTCTTTGCTATGTAAGTTAAACAAAAATAACACAGATATAAACTCTTTGTCCAAAGATGCCATCAGCGATTCTATTTCTCCTCAACATGGCTAGTACGCCCAGGTAAACAGTAGGCTGTGGGCCTCCCTCCAAATAGCACCGGCAAAATACACAAGCTGCAGCAGTGAGTGTCCTTACGCTTAACTATGGTCAGACTCCCGCACAAGAGCCCAAGAGTTCCACCTGTTTCCAATTAGATGCCAGAACTACTGGAGTGTTTAAACTACACTCGCTTGCTACTTACACAAAACAAGTCTTCTGGGTTTTTTGAACATTTTAAATATGTTAAAATAAGATTAAGGGTCTAGCTTAAACAATCAGAGGCAGGGGAATTTCAGTTGAAACCAAAACTATTTCTTCTTGCGGCAGCGGCGATAACCCAGAGCCTCAGACTAAACAAATAAACGAAGTAGACACATTTTAGCCTCTGACAATGACTAATAAAAATTAGATTTTTCTTAGGAAGGACAATTATATTTTTAAAGCTACGTATTAAATTTCAAATAGGTTTTAAAACAATTCTTAATATCACTCATGATCCCGTATAGCAGAATAATTACAGTAACCCGACATACCTGTCTTTTAAATATGTGAAATTTACTTGCAGAAACTATAGATGGGCAAGAATTAAGCCTAGCACTGTTGAGATTTTTCATAGGATGAAATTTCTTCAAAAACCATGTACAAGTTTCTCCCCAACAAATCGGTCCTTCTTCATTTCACTATGGTATCTAAACAAAACGTGGAATTGCCAGTCCTAGCCTTGTTTTCTCTACGACTTCACCATCAATGGAAAGCGCGCGCGCGCGCACACACACACACACACACACACACACAGGCAGGGTTCCCTTTACTGAACAGCAACAGAGAAGGGACTTTTAAAACAGCTATTAAGTGTCTTAGGCTCAGTGGGGTTGATGAGATGGCAGCTCAGTTCAGTGGATTAAAAGAGAAAAATCTGGGGCTGGAGAGATGGTTCAGCGGTTAAGAGCCCTGACTACTCTTGTAGAGGACCCAGGTTCTATTCGCAGCACCCACATGGGGGCTAGGAACCATCCTTGGCTCCAGTTCCAGGGGAATCTGAAGCCCTCTTCTGACCTCCGCAGCACTGCACAACACGTGTGCACTCACATACATGCAGGCAATACACTCATACGCATAAAATAAAAGTGATAAATAAAATATTTTTTAAAATCCCTAGGTAGTCAGGGATGTTTGCTTCCCCTTTCCAACTTTCCTGTGGTAGCTAACTATTGATAGGAGACACAAGACATCGAGGACCCAAGTCAAAGGGCCTTGGTGCACCCAACCGCATCAAGAGCTACTACATGTATTTTATCCTTGCACTGACTTGTGCCTTTCAAAACAAAAAAGAATTCGTTTCACCCAGGCAAAAGCTTTAAGCAACTGATAATAACCCTTCCCACCCCCAGGCTCTAAGATACCCATTTTAGAAGAACCAAGAAAAGAAAAGCAGGAGTGGCCCAGCATCATTTGTTTATTCATTATCCTATCAAAGGCACTAGCTGAGATATTTTAATTGAAATAATACACTTACTACAAAGAACAGTCTTGGGCTGCTAGAAACAAATCCTTTCCATAAGAGGAGAAAAGAAAACAAACCAGAAAATGGACTTGTGGCAAAAACTGAAATTGTTTTCTGATTTGAAGGGAGAACAATTTTTAAAGTTCACTTTTACAGATGATTCTTAAAGAGAAACAGAGGTCACACTGCAAGAAAAACACCCAAGGAATTCAGCCACAAGGCAGGCCCCAAAAAGTTCAGAGCCCTACTAAGCCGAGACAAGTAACAAGAGTTAAATATACGTCTTCTTTTCACACATGTATTTCAAAGAAAAAATTTATACAATGGTGCTTTCTTATTTTTTTAAAAAAAGTTTGGTTTTTACAAGTCTGGGGTAAGATCAAAACTTGTACAACTAGTCCTAGCAACACTAAAGCACTCTTTCATTTGGCAAGTCTAGGTTGGGGCCAATATTCAGAAACTCTCTTTCCAGGCATCCACTCCAGGTCCCAAGGCAAAACCCAGGGCATTTAAGGGATACAGGGACCTGCCAGATCTCCCCTAGACCCAATGGTCCCCAACTGGGATCAGTGCAATTGAGACCTGGCCTCTGTCCTACTGAATTCCTCACTAGGCTTGCAGGCAATTGTTTCCCTCTGGAACCCAAAAAAATCTCACCCCAAAACTCTGGTTCCCTGCCTATGAGAACAGAGAACCCTCAATTCCAAAGCTCTCCCCAGGGCCCAGAGAAAGGATCTGTGGGGCCTCATTCTTGACCTTTGCTATTCCAAGTTCACAACTGCTTCAACAGGCGTTCAAATATGTCATCAGTGGCATAGTTGAAACCACCTAAGGCCAAATCGTTATCTACCAAAAGGCAGTAAGGTAGAACAAGAAGGGAGCTTAAAGAAAGGTTTTTGTTTGGTTGGGTTGTTTTTTTTTTTTTTTTAAAGATCAGTATAAAATCCATTCATGTCAACTACAGGGGAAGCTTTCAATGGAGCCCTGTGGTTAAGTATCCCCATGAATACCTAGGAAAGCTAACCAGTAAGTGGGGGTGCTAATATTCACCAAGTTAATAACATCTAATAACTCCCCAGAAACCAAATCATTTTTTCAGTACTTCTTTAGGAAACACATAAAAAAGAAACTCCATTGACATTAAACTATGATGTCACATGGGGGGGGGTTAAAAATTAAGGTTTGTCACTTAAAACTCCATAACAGGTTTTACAGTAAGCACAGGAATTAAATTATGGTAAAAGGGAGCTATTTTTACTAAAATAGGGTAGACCAATTTATCAAAAAATGCCATTCAGCTGTGTTCATTAGGTTCAGGAATCTAATTTACACAATAGACACTTGGGGGTAAATCATTTTAGTCAATAAATACTGGAACTTCTTTAAGTTTTAATCTTATCGGAAATACATATTTCACATAGTCTTCCTAGTTAAGCGAGAAATGGGAGGAAATTTCATAACGACTATGAGTCTGCCTTATAGTCCTCACGTAGGCAAGAGCAGAAAAAAACAAGCACATCAATTACACTCTCCCTCTGTATGTTTTAATCCAACAGGCTTCATTTCCTACGAGACTGCCTGTGGAGTTCATTTGCTTCAGAGTCCTAAGGGTGCTGTGGGTTATCACCAGTCGACAGGGCTGGGGAATAGTTCACTCAAGTTCAAGTTCAAGCACACTTTAGAGTTGGAAGCAACCGCGGCTCCCTAGAGACACTGCAGGGCTCTCTCTCTCTCTCTCTCTCTCTCTCTCTCTCTCTCTCTCTCTCACACACACACACACACACACAGTGCAAGACTGCCCTGGGGCCCCTCTGAACCACAAGGCTGTCTCCCCCCCAGTGTCCCCAATGATCGCTGCTCTGCGGGCTCACTCGCCGCTCACCTTCAGCTTGGCTCCGGCCACGCACATCCACCTGGCAGAGTCCCGGGGCTGTCCAGGCTCCGCGAGTCCGGAGCTGGCACGTGCCGGGAAGACCCCGACGGCGTGCGGTTCTTCCAGATGAGGGGTGGCAGCCTGGATCGCGCCCCCTGGACACTGGAGCAGCTCGGCCGCCGGATGGAGAGCCCCGGTACCATCCCCTAGCGCCGATGGGGAACTACAACTCGACTCCCTACAGTCCATTGGGGGCCCCGGGGCTTTGGTTTCTAGAACACGGCGGGAGAAAGCATCTCCGAGCGGGCCAGCGGCGCGCTCCATAGCGCCTGGGGCCCCTTTGCAGAAAGGACACGAACACACACACACACACACACACACACACACACACACACATACACACCCCCGCCGGAAAAGATGGGGGGCTGGAATGAAGACGACGGGTCACACCGAGGGGGTGCTCAGGAAGTCCCCGAGATGTCTGTCTGCCCCGATCAGTGACGGGGAAGGAAGAGCGCCCGGAGATGGGGTCGCACAGGGGCCTGCGCTCGGTGCAAAGTTGCAAGCACCTTCCTCCTCCTCAGGGGGCCGATCCTACACTCCACACGACCCACCAAGCCAAGTGTTTCCTTTTCTAAAACGCCCCCCCCTTAAGTCCCTTTGCAGGGAAGTCTCTGGGGACAAAAAGATTTAAAAAAATAAGGGAAGGGGGGACGGGGACAGACCCAGCTCCGCAGTCACTTTCACGCAGCAGGCACACAAAAGAGCGCGCAGAGCTTGCGGCTTGGCCCCGGGACCCCCACAAACCAGGGGAGGAGAGGGGGATAACTCGGGGACACCCTTCCTTCGGGGCACCGCTTGGTAAGTCCTGATTGGGATGATGGAAAAGGGGGGAGAAGATAGCGGAGGCTGGGCCCTGTGGGGACCGGTCTGGGGGAGCAGCTGGGGGAGGGGGGGAGGAACTGCGAGCCACCCTCCACTTGTGCACGACAAGCGCGGGGGGGGGCGACACCCGCCAGCCTTGGCTGCCGCCGCCAGCCGCCGGTGGCCGGTCTGACCCTCCCCCGGAGCCGGCGGCACCACAGCGCCACCAGCTCCAGCTCCGCCGCGCCGGCGGGGCAGTGGCGGCGGCTGGAGACAGCGAGAGAGCGAGGGAGAGCGAGAAAGAGCGAGAGAGCGAAAGAGAGAGCGAGAGAGAGAGAGGAAAAAGAGAAAGACAAGCCCTTCACCCCCACCAGCAACTCCCCACAAACTTTCCCCGAGAAAGGCTGCGCCAGGGAGGGTGCAGAAGGAAAAGGACTTTGAGTGGCAGGAGGATGAGCAGCACCCCGCAGCTCCCCTTCTCGCGCAAAGCCCGGCACCCCCTCCTTCCTGCGGTGTGTCCCCCACCTCAGGGGGTAGGGAGCGCGCGAGTTTCTCCCCCACTGATTTCCCCTCCGCGGGAAGGGAAAAACGGCCGCTTTACCCCCCCAAACACACACACAACACACGCTCCCTTCCCACGGGGGTCCCGCCATGGCGACAGCGCATGGGGTCGGCGAGGAGGAGCAGGAGGAGGATGGCGAACATCGTGCGGGAGGAAGACACCCTCGGGGGTGGAAGGGGGCAGACACCGGGGGGCAAAGATGTTGGTGGCGGCTGGCGGCTCCGGCGCCATCTTGGGCTGATCGATGAATTGAACAAAGAGGATCAATTTCTGATCAAGGCGAGTGATCCGTGCGAGCCGGGGAGCCCGCGCGAGTCGTCGCCCACTCGGCCGCGCTAGTCTCCCGGCACCCCGGCTCCTGCTTTTCCCCGGGTCGCCTCGGCACCCCCCAACCGGAGGCCACGGCAGCTCCAGAGTGTCACCCTGTGTCCTGAGGGAGGCCGCGACCGCCCGCAGCCCTCACCCCCCGGGCGCCCGGCCTGGCGCCGGCTGAAGCCTGACCTGCAGCTGCTGTAAATCAAAGCGCTTCCAATATTGAAACATCGATCCCACATTGGCCGCCATCTTGAGACATATTGAGACGGAGTGAGAGGCTGATAGAGAGGGGGCTGGAGTTCAGGAGCCGCCAGGAGGCAGCAGGCGGGCGGGCGCCAAAACCCGGCCTGGAGCCGGCCGCCGCCTCAGCCACGGCGGACGCGGACTCCTTCCTCCCCGCCGCCACCGCAGCCGCCGCCG